CTGCCCAGTCAAATAATGATATTTTTAATTTTAACATACTCTATTATATCTTTTATTACAGTCACCTTTCTCCCTCTGCAAGGGTTCCTATGACGCTATTTGTCCCAGCTAGCCACCTCCTCCTGAGCAGGACGATACTTCTCCAGAGACAGCCTTTTAAAGAGAATTTTTAAAAATTCTATACAGTAAGTGCCGATAGCAAGGAACGCTCCAGAGTAGCAGCATATGGCAAAACATAAAGGCAGCAATTAGCCCATCAGCTTTATCTTTTATCTAAGCAGCTTATAAAGAAGCAAGTCTTTACGTCTCATCTCACAGCAACCAGGACAGGTTATCAGATCCATTGTATTCTGGGCCAGACAGGATAAAAAGCCCTGTCCTGAAAAGCCCCCACTTTCGAGCTATAGCCAAATTCCAATATAGCTTCCAAAATACGTACCATGCTTATTTATTCTAAATACACTTGATGGAGCTCACTTCAGGTAAGCTGCTCCTGTCAAGCCTGTAAATTAAGGAATCTACAAATCAGATGACAAGCAGCATTAGCGCCGTCCTCACTCGGTATGTCTTTAAGTAGGAGAGTTGTGTCATGCTTTAATCATTTTTACTGCAGCTGCCGAAGTAGGAAACTAATGTTTTAAGAGTCAGAAATATTTCCATATGCAATTTGTGAACCCTAGGGTTTAGAGAAACAAACGGCATGTAACAAAACTTAGAATGAGCATATTTGGAAACAGTACCAACATTTCATTTTGTATTTGGAGCTCTGAAAGGTTACCCTTACTGTGGTGGTGGTGTTGCTTTAAGACAGAAATAGAAAAACAGGCCTGATTACGCATTTTCTTCAATAAATAATGCAGAATGCCTACACAGTTCTGTGAACAGAGATTCAAACCCAGGTCACTTAGGTAAGCATCCCACCTACTACAGATACACTATAGAAACAGCTCTTCCAGCAAATCCTGCTTTGCAGAACTGCGTCCCAGTAAATCTTAACTTTACCTTACCATCGTGACTATCAGCATTTATAATTAATGACATGCAAAAAGAACTTACTATGCAAGTCATCATAGAAAAAAATTGATAGCATATGTTTTGGTAAGCAGAGCACATCAATTCCACTGTTAGCAGAACTGATTGCATTTTTGGTTTTACTATGTCCACTTTTACGTACCTATGCATAAAATAAATATTTGCCCAGTAATAAAGCTGCAGAGAATTATAAATTTGGGCTGTAGGAGGAGAAAGCAAGATATTTTTCCAGGGGAAGGGGGACAATATGCCTCTGAAGGATTCATGAGCCTGTTACACATGGAGCCAGAGCTGCTGCTCTGCTAGCCTTGCTACCCCACATCCTCAGGGGAGACAGAGGATTACTGCAGGATGTTTTCATGAGCTAAATATTAGTCAACATCAGTATTTAACAGCTCTAACACGTGAAATCAATAGCTCGACCTCTGTTCTAAGCCACGTGGGTCTTGCACGCCGTCAGGTGCGCAAGCTGAAACCCCCACATTTCCACCGAGCCGCTTGCACCAATTCAAGCACGCACCCAACGTGCAGCATTTCCATTGCTTCCCTCTGCACGGCGAGCACAGGAGGGTACATGAACACCCTTTGCTGCTAAATCGGCTGGAAAGGCATCTTGCCCCGGCGTGTCGATAGGCAAGGCAAGCAAACGGCTAGACCAGTACAGTGAGGCATCTATTTTTACTGACAAACTCTTCTTCATTAACTACACGTTAAACACGAAGCATTTCCCTCTCTGCCGTCTAGGAGAAACAGCCAAAACGGAGAGCAGGCAGACTTCCAGCAGCACCATTTCAGTGACCAAAGACTTCTTGCTAGGTATCCTCAAGCCACACAGAGCCAAAAATATAATGCATGAAGCCCGTCTTCGCAGCATTTATGGGCACACAGCTAAAACACTCCCTCCACGACGCTGCATGCAATAGCTTTAGGAGAGAGAAACAGCACCGCAGGGTTTTTTGTCCGGTTACGGACACCATAGGAAGGGCATGGCAAGACCAGGTTGGACAGGGCTGTGAGCAACCTGATCTGGTTAGCAGTGTCCCTGCTCCCTGCAGGGGGGTTGGGCTGGGTGACCTCTAGGAGTCCCTTCCAACCCAAAACATTCTAGGATTCTATGAAAGCAGTTTTCTGTTTGGTTAACCACCATCTCATACCCTTAAAATTTAAAAATCCAGTGATGCCTTCTTTTAACAGGACTCAAGCTTTATTTTAAGTAATGCTCAGGTTATTTGTTTCCTCCTAATTTCATGGTAGAATCCCCAGGTCCTCTTTTTCTTTTAAATGATTCTTTATAGCCTCAGCTGTTCTGGGTAGTAGCATATAGACCAAGGTGTTGAATAAAAATAATATGACAAAAAAAATCAGATTTGCTAAACCCCATGACTTTTAGGGCACCACCATGAAAAACAAGTCATCTCCCTTTTTCCTCTCAGATTCCGGCACTTTTAGATCTCCATTTCAGGCAGACTTGGTACCTCAACTGACCTGCAGTTTCAAGAGTGACAAATTTATTCCAAAACAGTTCAGGTTTCCAAGATCCCAGCTAATTAGATTTTTATTTTTTTTTACTTCCCCTACACAGAAAAAGGCTTTCTTCTTGCCTCTCAGGAGTAACAGATCACATCTAGATTTGTCCCCGGGAGTATTATTCAGCGTACGCTTGCTTCAAAGCAGTAGAGATGATGAAATAGCGAGATGCATTACAGAAAAGGCAACTGATATCAGAACTGGACAGCAAACCAATTGTGAGAAACACAGGAGAGTCTCATATCAGTTCAGGAGCCAAAGGCAATCAAAACCGTGGCTTGGGGGCGATGCAAACAGCTGCTAACCTGGATTTGAAGTTTTGGATGCAGTACCTGAAGCTGGAAAGGTTTTGTACCTTCTTCACTCCAGGATGCCAAATGGTTTCTTAACAACAAACTCTGAAAGCAGGAGACAAAATAACTGATACACTGAAGGCATTTCTACGGCTTGTCCGTTTTCTCATAGCGTGCAGAGCCCTGCAAAGGAACTAGATACATTAAGGTCTCAATTTGCCACACAGCTGAATGCTATAACAGACCTTTAACAGAATATTAACTCACAGGGTACTGTTATTTGTTCCTCAGCATTCCACATCACAATTCATGGTTTTCAGGGTGCAATGTATTATTACCGTATTCAGCGTAATCAAAGCCTCGTGGTCTGTCGCAAACCTGTACCACCATTTTTTTTATACAAATAGGGAGCCAGTCGGTAGACAATCTGTTGACCCGAGCGAAACATTCTGGTTCCTAGTGTTTTGCCTCATTTTTTAATGGGAAATTTTTGTTTTCAACAGCTGCGGGCATTTTTCACAGGATTAGAACGTTACATGCTTTATTTCAGAAAGCATCACACTAAACTAGCCACTGCACATTCAGCAATGCCACAATATCTTAATTTTTGTTCACGCCTGCTGACGCAGCAACAGATGGGGGGCAGTGCCCAGGCAACATTATCTACTGCTACTTGCACAATCCAACGTCGCTCCCAGAGCCCAGTGAGCCTCCGGAACGCCTGCCAGCACAGTGCGTTATTCATCAGAAGACAGAACTTCTTACAGCTACATTCTCTGAACAACCAAAATTCCTTGCACACAACTCTTCGGATCTTTTGCTAGATGATTTTAAGTCAAGATTTACAAAATTGTGAAGCTTAGGTAAAAATACTTATTATGTACAGTATTGCATAAGAAAAGCCACAAGAAAGTCTCTAAAATACTTATTATGTATTGCATAATGAAACAGTATTGCATAAGAAAAGCCACAAGAAAGTCTAGTATTCACAAAAACCAGTAAAGCGTCAAGAAAGCAGTTTAAGAGATGAAACAGAAACATTCCCTAGATGTGCACCAAAGGATGCACAGGTGAAAAAACAGTTCCCCATTGCTATGCCAGTGAGTTCTGCATGGTCATTTTTAAAATGCATAAAAGCTTACCGATTCAATTCCTCTGCGGAACCTCTGACTTTCCACCGATAACTCATTAATAAACAAGACCTTGACGATATTGCTTCGCATCCCCATGCTTTTCCTGCAGGAAGACAAACAAGCTTCCAAGGGATTGCAGGTCTCCTGTGTCAACCAGAAGCAAAGTCTAGAGACTAAAGAGTCGGCTATCGACTCTGAAGTACGGCTCATCATAAGTCATCTGGGAAAAAAAAACTTCACAGCAGAAGGACTGGGCAAACCTCAAGGAAGGCAAAAAGCCTTTCCCACCCTTTTAATCTGTGCATGGAAGGGCAAAATGACTTCAGAATCCTGTTAGATTACAAAACTAAAAGATAAAGAAGTTTCTCCAAGTATGGGTTATATACACTCAATTTAGAAAAGTGTGTGTTACCAGCTGAACAAAATTCCTTTCTCTCTTCAGGAGAAGAGAATGAAGTTACTCACCGCTGCTCACAAAACAGGAATAAGAATGTTCTCTACTTTTTGGGAAATCCTGTCTGACTTCTCACCACTTACCTCAATGTTCCAAGCTTTGAAATCATTTAAGTCTGAATTAGGGACTACTACCATATGGGGGGAGGAATAAACAATAAAAGCAACGGAGAGCAGCACTTGAAAAAGCTGCCACCTCTCACGAACACAAGACACGCCAACAGTTAGACGGAGAGGAAGGAAACAGAAGTGTTCTCTCTTGCAAAGATAAACCCTTTCTCCAAAAAGCAATACATGCTTGCTCTCTAATCAAGAGGGCAACCGTACAGGGGAACAGAAGGATGGAAACAGCGGTTACAGTCTGAACAAGAATTTAGCCTAGCACAACAGGTATAATACCCAAAGGCTAAGTAGAAGTATCTGCGTTAAGGTACTTGCCAAGCAGCAACATAAATAAAAACCTTAAGAGACTATAGAGGTACAGCTGAGAAGAAAGGTAGGGGGTCAGGGCTACTCCCAATACACAGAGGTTTCAACACGGATGGGCCAAACCTGCACCCACGCCATGATGCTGAGCCCAATGTTGCTCCGCCAAAGCAAGCCAGCACGCCAAAGGCTGCCCTGCAAACCTCTTGGGTAGGAACCCATGTGAGGCTGCCTGCTGCCGCCAACATGCCTCTGACCGAATGCCTTAACATGCCCCTCAACATTCAATTCTGGCACAGAGAAAAAAAAAAAAAAAAAAAGAGATGAGATATAATCAGCTATTTCTGCATGTTCCTAGAAATATCCCAACGTCACGTATTACACCAAAGCTTTCAAGGCAGCCAGTGGAAGATGCAGTTCCAGGAGAGTTCAAAGCCTCAGTTCATGAGTCTTCCTTTAAAGATCAGAGATATTTACTGTTGATAACAGAGCAGCATTAAAGTGCCAACGCTCATCTCAGGCAACACTCAAGGATCCTTCATCATTTCAAATTAGATTAGTGCCGCATGATTGACTCCAACTTTTAAGATGCTGAAATTCATGACGACTCTTACAGCATTCTACTGGAAATATTGACCTTGTTTCTCTCCCTACGACCCTTCCTCAGGAGAACTGTTTATTTAATTTCAGAACTGGCATGAAACAAGAAGCTTCTCCAGTCTTCAGTGTTGACAGGAACTCTGTTTCTCTAAACAAGCCTACCATATAAGGGCTCATTACATGACATAACGGCGCACTATCAAATGACCCAGCAGGCATCAGGTTGTGCAGGTGTTTCCATCCTGTTTAGACAGGTGGAAGCAGAGCAACATTAAGATATTTCAGTGCGATTAGACTAGGTCCCACTGCCAACAAGAACTAGAAGGCATCACATCAGAGAAGTAGTGATGACCTGGAAGGAGAGAAGGAGAAAGACATCGCTATTATCATATCCAATACAAAGGCCGTAGGAACACAGGTCAGGGAAAATCATCACTGAGGGACAAGGCCATCAATGGGTGGGACTGGCAGAACAGCACGTGCCACCCACAGCAGCCTCTTCCCAGAACTGCATCCCTTCTCCAGAAAAGCAATGCCCAAGGGATGGACAGTTCCTCAGAGGAACTCATCATAGCATCTGGCTAGCAAGTTTCTGAACTTCATCTGACTTATTGACCTGCTGAGAGCACTATTCCTTGGCAAGTTTTTGCTTATGAAGAGATCATGCGAGAGCCAAACAAACCAGTCTCAATCCTTGAAGATGACTAATCCCCATTTTCAATATAGGAAAGACAACTCCTGTCACAGCATAGAGACCAAAGAGACCAGGATTTACTTCAATGCCGTAGTCATTATTTGGCACAGCTATAAAGAAACAATAAAGATTGCTATTAAAACTAAGGCACGCTGGCACAGCGCAGACAATTGAGAGGTTTCTGGTCCTGCTATCATGGTGAAGTAAACAGACTAAGAGGTTTGAGAGTTATTGAAATACGCATATTGAAGATAACTAACTGTACATTTTGCTGCATGGAGTTACCAACATGAGCGCTTTCCACTTGCCAAAGCATTCTCACATAAAGAGCACTATGAGATTTTGCAAATAACTATTACTATGAGATGAAACTGGCTTTGGCTCCTTTCCTCCTACCTGAGCACACACATGTATCACCAACTTCTACCGTAATTTGCACGGAGCAAAACACTTCAAAGGACTTAAACAGCAGCCCAGGAGAATCTTCTTGTGAGGAAATGAAGTGGAAGACATTACTAACATAACTCTAACCTAAGGAGCACAGAAAGTGAGAATGAAAAGGAAAGAAAACAGCAGGGTGATACCATTCATGGCCAAATATTATTTATCGCCCTGCAGGCACCTTGCCTCTGCACAGCGCTTCTCAGCAGCCATCGATCACACCAGTTCCCCTGCTCTCTTTGGCCACAATCATGAGGGTCCATCCTAGCCAGGAAGGGACAGGCTCAGCAACCGTTTGCTGCTTCATCGAGAGCCTAAGCAACAACAGAAATGAGTGGATCAAGTTAGACTTTTTTTTTCCCCCCCCCGATAAAGTCTCTTAAAAGATAGGCAGTGCTGCAAGTCACTGAAGACTAGACGTTCAACTTCCACGAGCATAAAGCCTCATTAGCTCCGCGTCTCCCTCCCTCGCACGCTAACATGCAAAGGGATAAACTGCTCCAAGACAGGAAGATGCAACTTGCACAAAGGCCGGAGGACAGCGGTTTGCTAAGGTGGGGCTTACCGATTAGTAGATGTTCTAGAGCACTACCTAAAGCATGTATGTCGTTTCAGGCCATTCATAACATCTGGAAAGAGTCTCCCCACAGCCAGAAAAGTCATATGCCAATGTCTTTTTGATTCAAAGCTCAGCCATCAACTACACTTCTAATAGACAATGCTGTATCTCTATAAAAACCTCAATATCCAAGACTGCAGAGTAAGTCAGCATTTAGCTCCGCAACCCCAGGGCAAGTATATTCCAGCTAGTGAAACCCCTGACGAGTTAGTTTTGGTTAAAAAAAAAAAAAAATTAAGCCTGATATCATCCTAGGGTTTTCCACATGAAGACACAAGCAAGAAAGCTAAATGAAATTATGGTCATTTTGGTTCAGAGCGCCTTAATTGAAGAATGGCATCAGGCTTAGTATCACTGAAAATTCCAGAGGCTTAAATTCTTGTTCTGACACCACAGTCTAATCCTTGCTCAAAATTAATTCAAAGTTACCTTTCACCAAGCAGCTCATTAGAGACAAGTACTTAGATGACCAGAAAACGTGAAACCCACTTTGCTATACAGAATAGGAACAGGATGCTGCAGAACTGAATTGAATCTCATCTTCAGGAGGGTTTTCCTGCAGGAAACAGAAGCTCATGTTGCACGATTAGTCATGCCAAGAGAAGCACAGAACAGTTACCTCTACACTACTGAAAGGGAAAGCCCCAGCTACAGACGGACAGTCCTGCAGGCTCTCTTGGAGAGGAAAAAGCCTTCTGCTCAGCAAAGAGGAGAAAATAGGATTTTTAAAACCCTTTGGATATATCTGAACCATTAACAATATTATTTCCTCTGATCGGATACCATTTAATAGACAGGTTTTTCCTTGCCTCCTCTTTTTTTTTTTTTCTAGTAGACATTCACGTGGCACAAGAAGCACCCCAAATGCCAGGCAAATTACCATTCAGAATGCTCTGTGCGTGTGTGTATATATATATATACACACATAAAGCTTGCTATTTTGAAATGAGGGCTATAAACTTGCAAGCACCTTTGCAACCATCATTATCAGCTCAGAAAAAAAAAAAGAATTCCCTTTACTGGGAGCTTATGTTAAGGCGAATTTGTCCCAAGGGAAAGCAAGAGTAGGTTTTGGTAGGTCTTCTAATATTTGTTTTCTTAATCATCCGAGTGTTTCGGAGGCTTTACGGAAAAGACACTGCATTCATTTTCAAGTGTTGCAGCCCTCCGCCTACCATGGGAAGAAAGAGTACACAACAACTTAAAAATCACTTCAAGCTCAAACGCCTAAAGACAACACTGAATACATCCACGCTGCTGTTTTATCAAGCCTCAGGTCTCCCCACTGCCCATCTTCTCTTCTGCTTCTCTCCGTTACCACAAAGGAAAGGGAAATAACTCCCTCCAAAGCAAGGAGATTGGATCTGTCAGAGCTCCTAATGATATTCAGATACCTTCCAGGCTAGAGTCCTCATAAAGTCATCTCGCAGCCATGGGGGGCAGGGAGGGGAATAATATACCCAATTAATACCTTCGTACTTGTTTGGTCCTACTTAAAAGTGTAGTTGACTTCCCAATTACCTAATGCATTACGCCTAAAGGTGCCCAAAGCACTAACACTTACCATCTCCCTCGATCTTTTTCTGCAGTGCATTTATTTTGGCAGCTCCATCCATTTACACCAGTGGTCTTAGTTTTACAGTTTTGGGGTAAGGGCTGCGTTTTTCTGAGTGGGGGGAATTAAAAGAGACTTAAGGCCCCCATATTCCCATTTTAAGGCTCATTCTGTTGGAGTGGGGTTAGGGCTTGCAGTGGGGTTAGGGTTTGCAGTTGGCAATACTGCGAAGATCTTTCACTGCGGGAGGCAGAGTTTATGTTAGTTTAGAACTAGTGGGCCATTGCAATCAGTAATTGCCTGCAACACCAGCCTCCCTTCAATAGAGGCTGCCTCTGCCAGGAATACAAATGCAGGTTTTAAACAAACAAGCACTTTGATCCCTGTTTCAGATACAGCCATCACACGTGCGCTGAAGTGGAGATACCAATAGCAACAATTCCAGCGCGTAACATTTCAATCCTACAACCCAAGCCAGTGCTTTCTGCAAAGTTGAACTCAGCCAAACATTTGCCAAGCACTGGAGAGAGAGAAGGGAGGAGAAGGGGGGAGGAAAAAAAAAAAAAAAAAAACAACCAAAAAAAAAACCCCACCACCACACAAAAGGAAGCATATATATTCCTTTTAAACTTAACTTCCTTGCACGTGGGACACCATAACCTACTGGAGTTTGTCACATGCATGGAGAGGGGCTGCTGGTCTCGCACCAAAGGATGGGGCTAAGAGCTCAAGGTCGAGCTCAGGTCTAGTAGGGGAAGAGCAGATGCATGGCAGAAATCCAGGGCACAAGAGACTCGCATAAGTCCCTTTTTGCCAAGCCTGGCCCGGTGAGCCCCAGGATTGAAGAGTGCCACCACTACTTAGCCAGAAAATTCTCAACTCAAGTTGCTCACAAAGTGGAGGAGCTCATTGCTGGCCTTGACTTCCAGCTTTTGACAGTTCAAAAAAACTCCCAAACAGGATAGTCAAGTAAGGCTGAGCAGACAATCACAGGAAATTAATTTTATATTCTGCTAGAGGGAACGAAGCAGCTTCTTTCCAGCTGAGAGCATATAATTATTTGGCACCAACTGGCTACATCTCAGAAGCTACGACACCAGCTGAACAGTCCCTTTTAGTAGGGTAAGCTTATTTTTCCTTTGTCTCAAACTCTGTTGGTTTTCCAATTCTACCAACTGCCTGAAAAAATATAAGCTGCTGGGAGGATTTGGGGCCACAACAACCAACACAACATTCTCTTCTGTACAATTTTGCAATACACCGATTACAGTCAGGCCAGGCAAGCCACCAAGGACACAGTAGGGCAAGAACCACAGCGCAGCCCAGACTGGAAGGGACCTTGTAGACCCCCAAAG